CAAAAGGCAGTGGTGTGGGCTCCTGTGTACTCAGTCACAACTAGCTCAGTGAAGTCCATGTCATCCCGGGCAAAGTCCCGCTGGATGCCACACCAGTACCAGCCCGTGTCCTCCTTGCTCAGACAGGACACCGTGACAATGAGCTCGTTTCCTGTGTCCCTCAGGCCCACGCGGCCGGTGCTGTTAGGCGTGAAGGCAATGATGCTGCAGTAGTCCCGGTAGTAGCCTCGGCACCAGTACTTGGGGTGGTCCTTGTAGTGGGCGTCGTAGCTGCAGACAGCAGATGCTGTGTCCAGCACAAAGCTCTCTTTGACCTTTTTGTCCATGACCATGGCTTCTGCCAAAGGATACATGCACAGGGAGGTAGGAGAGGGCAAAGGGGATAAATGACTGTGGAAGGAGGCTTGGCTTGGTGTGACAAACACACAACACAATACACGGATGATGGAGTATAGAACTGTACACCTGAAATCTATGTTTTATTAACCAAAGTCACCCCCATAAATTCAATAAAAAACAAAAACCATGTATATACACACGCGTGCACAAAAACACCGTTGTTCTTTTAAACACACTGCAGCTCCTGCCCTCCTGGAGGAACGTAATTAAAGCACTGGAGGCTGATTTTTGCCTGTTTGGAGCTGGCAACTGTTATGGGCTGAGCAGTGCCCCCTAAAACTCATACATTGAAATGCTACCCCCAGCACCTCAGAAAATGACTCTATTTGGAGACAGGGCCTGTAAAAAGGTAATTAAGTTGAAATGGAGTTAGAATGGGCCCTAGTCCAACATGACTGTTGTCCTTACAAGAAAGATGAAGACACACGACAGAAGGAATGACCATGTGAGGACACAGTGAGAAGACAGCCCTCTGCAAACCAAGGAGAGCGGCCTTGGGAGACGCCAAACCTGCCCATGCCTTGATCTTGAACTTCTGGCCTCCTTAACCACATGGAAATAAATCTCTGTTGCCTAAGCCGCCCAGCCTGTGGTGCTTGTAACAGCAGCCTTAGCAAATGAACACAGCAGGCCTGACGAAGTCTTCTCCCCTGGCCTCAGGGTGGGTCAAACATGGATCCCCCTCTGCTAGAACTGAGGACGCTCTAGCCATTGCTTGGCGGGAGGCTTGGAGAACCTGGGGCGTCCTGTTTGTAGATCCTCTGCCCCCAGAACCCCCACTTCTTCTCGGACCCTCAAAAAGACAGTGAAAAGGTTTGGGGCTTCTGTTGGCTGTAAGGGGCTAAAAACAGTGCAGTCAGGCTCTGTCCTCGGGGACCGAGAACGTCTCATTCCTCCCTACGAGGCCGGCGTGAGCACCTCTGATCTCAGGGCATTGCGTAGCGAGGAAGTTGTGCACACATGTCCGGCTTGACCGTGGCTGGGGAAATGTTCAGCCAGGGAGGAGAGAGGGGGCAGCAGTCCCTCTGTGTCTCATCCTCCAGCTGTGCTGGGTCCACTCAAACGCCACCCCCACGCAGCTCACGGTGTGGCACCAGCCTATACAGCAGGCTCATGTCCTTGGTAGCACTTGATATTTTGTTCTCATTTCAATCCCACAAGGACGATCGTGTGGTGCTCTGTTTGCAGGTGGGGTGCTGACCCAGAGAGACGCGCAGCTACTCTCAAATCTCAGGTGGCTGGAGGGTGCAGAGCCAGGGCCAGCCCAGTCCTCGGAGTCTTATCTTTGGTGTCAAGAATGGGCCCAAAGGGGAAAGTCTCGTCCTCATATATCTGCACAAACATTTTTAAGGGGAGAAGGGGGAAGGGAAGGGGAACTTAAACTGAAAGAGAGAATGTAGAGCCCTCATTTTAGCTGAGGATGCCAAATTCCCACAGCCCTCCAATCGGAGCTAAGCACAGGACCGTTTTGGACGAGATCGATTTCCCCTCCCTTTCTTCTCCCTTTCTTTCTCCTCAGCCATTCGAGCCCCCAGTAGGAAGGAGAAGGAAAGACCAGGCTCGAAGCTGGGAAGGCTGGTAATGTTCCTTCCCCTTGTCTTACCTGAACAGAGAGTCAAGGAGAGCAGAATGAAGAACCCCATGGCTGGACGGAGATGAGCCTTCGCCCGGAACGGCCAGGTGTACCCGGGGACCTCAGGAATCCCGGCCCTGTGTAAGGGAACAGGCGCCTCTGAGCTTACGATGGCTGCGTCCCGGCTGGAGAAACCAGGCCCCACGCCGTGCCCGGGCTGCGCTCACCGAGGGTGCACTCGTGGATGTAAACGCATACAGTGGGCTTCCTGGCAGAGCTCCGGGCAGGCATGGAGATTCCCATCCGGATACGTGCACCCCGACAGGAAGCCCCGGTGGCTCAGAGGAGCACGGGCACACCGTCGCCGGCACACTCGTGTGCACAGCTGTGCCTGGCCCGGAGGCCACGCCTTTGTCTGTCACCCCTCTCAGGGGCCCAATCCCTCTCTGGCGGAGAGGATGACGAGTAAGGACACTGAGTCCGAGTGGACACGAGGCCTCGCTGCGGGGGCACGAAGCTGCAGGGGCAGAGGTGCCTGGCGTCTGAAGCGAGCGAGCAGGCCCCCAGCAGCCCAGGAAACCAGCCCCTTATCTACAGTACGAGGCCCAGGAAGCCGGCCTGTGAAGTCAGACTGGCAGGAAGTCAGGTCATCCTGCCCAGCAGTAGCCCCGCCGCCCAACAACAGTCAGCCCCGGTGGTCAGGACTTGGTAATACCTGACAGCTCCCCTAAACGTCGTCCCTGCTTCCAACTTGGGACTAACCAGAGAAAAGTCAAATTGCTCCCCTGACCAAGCAGCCCCCACTTGCCTGCAGCATCCCCAGGGCAACAGCCTCCAGGCAGCCCCCCGAGGCCTCCTTTTCTCCCAACACAGAGCTTCCCACCCCTGCCCGCCCGAGCCTCTGCCAAGACGGCTGACTCCCTGATTCCCTTCCCACAGGAAACTCAGAATAAATAGCCTTTGGTTTTCTCATTTGTTCTTTGCTTATTTCCATAGTTGACTTGATAAAACGTTGGGTCAATAAACCCAGCTACTCAACAGCTACCTTAGTTCCAGTGAAATCATATGGGGGAAGAGGAAGCAACCTCGGTTTTGTCTGGCTGTTCTTTTCACGCTATTGCTTTAGAACAAAAGCCCGACAGCCACCCTTTACTGCTCGGCTGAAGGGAGCCAGCAGGGATAGAGTCAGGGAGATCCAGTGACATTATCTCTGAACCTGAAACCAGGGCAGGACTCGCCCCTTCTACCCAGGCTCCTCACCCAGGATTCTTGGTTTGTCTTTTTTGAATTCACCGCAAAGGACATTTTCACCTTAAGGGCTTCTTCTGGGCTGATGGAACACCTTAGCTCAGGAGATGTCCATTTGACCAAAAAAGAAGTAAATCAACCCCATCAGCAAGAAGGAAGAGAGAAGAGAGAGGAGGAGGAAGAGAAAGGGAGAAATGAAAACAATGTTTTCTGAAACTCAGGAGCTACAGCTCCTGTGATGACATCAAGTGACCCCGGACAGACTGCAGTTTTGTTCTGAGAGAAATGATCACTTTAAGTCACGTTTCCACGAGGGCAGGCGCTGAGGGTTGCTACAGCAACAGAGTCGGAGACTCTAAGTTCAGAAGCGCATGTGAAGATCAACAGGACTGAGAACAGACCAGCGCTTCCCTCAAGTTGCCAACTGGGCAAAGGTGGTTCCCGGGCAGAACAGTGTGCCAGGGTCCCCGACAGCCCAGGGTAAGCTGGGGCCCTCGTCCTGGAGGGGCGTTTTAACAAAACACGCAAATTAATCCAGGGGGAAAGCCTTGGACTTAATAAGGAGGATTTAATAAGAAAAAACACTGAGGAATGGGTTGAATTCTTACGGAAAAAATATCCCCCAAAATGCCAGGAATAAAGCCGCCTCACTCCCAGGGACCAACAGGACCCGCGGGGCTGTGTTCAGTCTCCTGCCTCCAGGATACGGTTGTGAGTGACGCCAGGAAGGGGGGGGGGGGCTTACTCCATCTTCCCCGGTAGTGTGGATTCCTCCTGGGGGGACAGGTGGAGAAACAAGGACCCTTCCCTGAAATGTTAACCAGACAAATATGGTTATCAGGCTCCAGCCTGAGATTGGGGTTAGGATCAACTTTCAGGGCCGGCAAAGAATTAATTTTTTTAAATGTCAGTACCCTTATCCTCTTTGACATGGTTTAATTAAAACCCCATCTCGCTGCTCTCATCAAGTTCATATATTTATTATCTTGGGGGTGAGAGTCCACAGATGCAAATTTGCATAGAACAAACCAGAGATGTCACCTTGAATCTCCAAAGCCACACACAATGCTTGAATGATGTGACTTAAACTCTGTTTCTGTCTGGTGACCTGATTAATGAGGGAGCAATAATAACAACTAAGGCAAAGCAAACAAACAGAAAATGAACAGAACAGCAGTCCCTGAGTATACAAATCATTGCTTATGCCCATGTACCTGCTGCTTGTACATTAGGTGAAACTTGAGAGTTTGGACTTTGGAGAAGTTCCGAGTCCCTCTTCATGTCTGAGAGTAGGTGGTGAGAAGCTGAGCTTCTCTCATAAGGCAGGGGTGAGTTTAAATCCTGGTTCTCCTGCCTGGCCAGTGTGGCTCAGTGGTTGAGCATCAACCCATCCACCAAGAGGTCGCTGGTTTGATTGCTGGTCAGGGCACATGCCCAGGTTGTGGGCCTGATCCCCAGTGGGGGGCACGCAGGAGGCGGCCAATCGATGTTCTCTCTCATCGATGTTTCTACCTCCCTCTCCTTTTCCCTTCTTCTCTCTCTAAAATCAATAAAGAAGAAAAAATAAAAAATAAATCCTGGTTCTCTGCTTGCTGTGTGACTATAGACAGGTTACCTAACCTCTCTGTGCCTCAGTTCTTTCGTCTGCAAAATGGAGATGATAATACTGGTGGTAACTACCTCAAAGATTGTCAAGACCTAAAAGGACAATGTATGCAAAGGGCTTAGTGCCTAGACAGTACTCAACATCTAATAACTCTGCAGTGTCTCTTTGTGCCCCACCCCCACTTCTCCTCTTACAGTGACACACCAGAGGAAATACTAGGACTCGGCTCTAGAGGGAGAATCACTCCTTCTCAATCAATCAATAAATGGGTCATGAAGTTGACAAATGCTCTGATCAGCCCAGGAAAAAGGAGCAGAGTGTCCTGGGACAAGGGATGAGGGGCCCAGAATTCACACAGATGAACATGCCATGTGGCTCCAGGGAGCAGGCGGGCAGAATGCCGAGAACAGCTAGCTGGATCTTCAAGCCCCAAGTGACCCTGACCCTCAGCAAAGAACTGCACAGTTGTTGGCTCTCATCTTTTATTTACTCCAATATATTTACAGGTGAATTCAGCAGGTTAAGTACCCCCTTAAACTCAGCTCAGTCCTTCAGTTTCCACTGTCTCCCAAGCATCTGCTAAGAGCAGGTTCTCTGCTTAGTCCCACCGTGGAGTGGAACTGAGTCACCATCGCACACATGATCAGCCTGAATGGGGCCTTTTGTCAGTAAGTCATGAGGCATCCTTCAGATTCCATGACTTCTGTTTGGGAAGGAGGAGCACAGGCAATATTAACAACAGAGCGTTGTCCTCAAGTCAGGCATCCAGAAAATTGAATTAGGGAGGAAGGACAAGAAACAAAATCAAATCAGAGGAAGAGGGTAGTAGAAGAGGTACAATTGGAGACAGCCGGCCAAATGCCCCCCACACCAGAGGGAGGAATCAAGGATGTGAAAGACCATGGCCCAGGTGGATGGGACCCGAAGTGCATGTTGATATTGCATCTGAAGGTCAGTGGGACAGACAGTCGTCTTTCATGGATAACTACTAAGAAATCTGTTCAATATTTGGGTCCAAGGAATCAGAGGGCTGGCAGGTCATATAGGTTCTGAAGATAAAGAAATAGGTTTCCTTGAACTTTTTTATTTTAAAAGCATAGACGACAGGGTTCATCATGGAGTTAGCGTGGGACAGCAGGATGGCCAGGTTAACCACAACTTGGGGCACGTCACCTTTAAAGTAGGTGATACAGTTGATGATGGATAAAGGCAGCCAGGACAGAGTAAACAGAAAAAGAACTAGAAACAGGGACTTGGCTGTCTTGAACTCCCGTCCATAAAATGAACCTGTCTCTTTGGAGCTTGAAAAGTTCTGATTGAGTTTGTTCCGGATGACACAAAAGATATCAATATAGATGGCGCACATGGCAACCAGGGGGATGAAAATCCAAGTGAAGAAGCTGAAGTACACCATGTAGTCCAGCTTCATGACGGAAAGGAATTTGCAAGAAAGGAAGGTCTCATTTCTGTGGGGCCCTGAGGACATTTTCATGTTCCATCCAAACATGGGGGTCAATCCCACCAGGAATGACAGCAACCAGCAAAGGCCCAGGGCGCACCATATTCTTCTTTGAGTGGTGACCCTCCTATACCTGTTTGGATGGAAGAGAGTGGGTGAGTTCAAGCATTTGCTAAAGGATGGGGGGAGGCGGACCTGGTAAAGGAGAGAGAGATGGAGAGTGTTGGTATTCTATAATGATTTCGGCTAAATTCTAACTACATATGAAGACAAGATGAGCAGATGATAATTAGAGAAAAACCCACAAACTTCTCTGGGGAATCTTTCTAAAGAAGTATGATCTATAATCTACCAGGAATATGCTACCTAGACCCAGGTGCTTGCACACCCCACTCACAAGTCCATTTCCAACCCAAGAATTCTTCAATTCCTGGGAGGTAAGAGCCAGTCATCTAAGTCTCCTGGAGTTGCCTACCTGGTGAGAAGTGATCGCAAATCATATTTACCGGCATTGTGTTGTTTGTTGAGGTGTTTCTTGTTTGCTTGTACTGATGTCCTTTACTTATACTCTGCCTCCCCCACACTCCATTTTCCTGTGAATACCCTGCTTCTGTTCTTACACTGACACCACACTTGGTGTTTGAATTAAATGAATCCGTGGAGTTGGGAAGGTCATGTTGAAATGCTTCCAGGACAATAAAAAGCTCATCCAGTGATAGTCACCATTTCTCCTTACTCCATCCTTCCTGACAACATTCTACACAGACTGCAAGAAGGACACTGATTTTGTAAATGACTCCGTAGACGTTCTCTGAATGAAATCTCACCAAAAAAAGCTGAATATATTTTTATGATCATCTCCATTTTGTGGATGATATTAGTGAAAAATGAATGGTACAGTTACCATTTATTGGGCATAGACTGTGTGCCAGGCTCTCCCCTAGGAGCTCTGCATGTTAATTCACTTACTCTTATGAGGACAATGCCATCGTCTCCGTTTCATAAGGGAGAAAAATGAATCAGACAAGTCAAGCTCTTTACAGGCTGGAAATGGTGAGTTCAAATTGCAAAGAGGGCGGGCTGGATGCGGAGCATTTGAGCCCTCTGGTGAGATGAGGAACTGGAGCACAGAAAGTCCTGTCACGTTGCCCAAGACCAGATTTCTAGATCCGGGCTTTGAACCCAGGCTTGTTTGTATCAAAAGCTCATCGATAGCTTCCTCACCGTGCTCTTTCCCTACGAGAAGAGAGGAGAAACAGGAGGACGCGTGGGGAATCGAGTTTCTCCGCTTGGCGGTCTGTCCCGTTTACACGGTCAGACGAGTGTCGCTACTGTGTGCGATGGAGAACTATTGTGGTCTCCTCAACATGGAGGAGGAAGCAAAGTTAAAACAACTTTAAAATAATCTACATTTGCAAAGAACAGAAGCATGAGTCTGTCTCCTCTTATTCTTATCTGTATCTGTTCCTTATCTTACCTAGTAGGTTTCTATCATTTCTAGAAATCAAGAGCATTTTCTGCTAATTAAAGACACATCGAGCTCCCTGGCTGACTGAGCACACACTCCCTTGGCCAGTGGAGAGAAATCCCTCTCTCCTTCCTGAGTCTCAGCCCATCACTGCTAAACCCCTCACACACCAAGCTCAGAGGCCAATTTGGATTTGTTTTCACTCAAAAAGTCTTGGATCTAAACGTCAGAGCCCCACGTCCCGGGCACCTCTACCACTGCCCCACACCAACCCCTTCAAGCAGGTTACCTGACCGTGAGCTTGACCCGCAGGTATCGGTCCACAGCAATGGCCAGCAAGAACATGATGGAGGCGTGCGTGAATACCAGCAGCAAGCATGTCATGAGAAGGCAACTGTAGAAGTGGACTGTGAAGCCCAGGCTGATGACAATGGCCAAAGGCATGACCAGCACCCCAACAGCAATATCAGCCAGGGCTAGAGAAACAATGAAATAGAAGGTGGTGGTCTGCAGACTGGGGTTCAGCTTGACCACCCAGATGACCAGCACGTTGCCCACTATGGCGCAGAGCCCGATGGCAATCTCCGTGATGATGTAGGCCCACTGCAGCACCGTGCTGCTGTCTGCCATGTCGGTTTCCCAGCGGGGCCTCCCGCTGCACAGACAAGATCCGCGGGCCAGAGTCCAGCTCTTGCTGGAAATCCAGGCGCAGCAGCCACAGTGTAAAACTCACAGCTCGCTCATTCCTCTCGTTTCTGGTGGGGCGCTCGCTCCGAGGACCTCCTCTCCGTAGGTCCCATCACAGGGTAATCACTTCCAGCCCCGCTGCCGGCCACACATTCCCAGGTCCCCAAAGCCTGGAGGACAGTTCTGCATGGGCTGAATCTGAAAGAGCTGTTGCTCTTAGTTCCCCAGATGCGCTCAAGGACTCCGCCTTCCCTGTCCCTGAGGGCTGATGAAACTCCATCAAGATAAGCAACCCTCTGGGGGGGTGTTTCAGGAAGTGAGATGGGCCAAGAGGAAGCACAGAGCCAGGCACCCTCAGCACGAAGACAGAAAGAGCAGAGGAGGGGGTGTGAGAGGCGTGGGGAAGGCTCCGCGTTCATTCACGCAGGACTGGGTGCTGGATGCCGTGCAGCACGGGGCAGGGAGGAGCTGGGAGCTGGGAGCTGGGAGCTGACGACATACTGTTCTGGCTTTCTGCTGGCTGAGCAAAAAAATCCCGTGACAAAGAGGCAAATGGAGACACAGAGGGACAAAAAATAGACCTTGGTGGCAGGCCCCTCACCTTGACCAGAATTCACTCTTTCTACTGCACCGAGACTGATAGTGTGTGCCCCTCCAAAACTCACAAGTTGAAATCCACCCCTGAAGATGAAGGTATTTGGAGGTGGGGTCTCTGGGAGATCATTAGGTCATTAGGGTGGAGCCCTCATGAATGGCGTTAGTGTCCTTGTAAGAGACCCCACCGGGCTCTCCCACTACCCATGAACCAGGAGGTGGGTCCTCATCAGACACAGATTCTGCTTGTACCTCGATCTTGAACTTCCCAGCCTCCTGAACAGTGAGAAATACATTTCTCTTGTTTACAAACCACCCACTCAGCTGGGCACAGCTGGAACCCAGCCTTTGTATCAAAGATCTTTTAACAAAGGGACAAGCTCAGATTCCCTGCTCAGAAGAGCAAACCTCCAGCACCTCCCAGAAGCATCTGCTGCCCATCGTCTGTCCTTTCCAGCCCACACCCCACCGTGCCTGCGCACCAGCAACCACCTGGGTCGAGCCTATGTGAGCTCTGTCTGCTTTGCTCAGTGGTTAGAGTGTTGCTCGCAGACCAAAGAGTCCCGGGTTTGATTCCGGTCAAGGGCACGTACCCAGTTGCAGTTCATCCTCGGCCCTGGTTGGGGTTACACGGAAGGCAACCAATTGATGTGTCTCTCTCACATTGATCCCCCCCCGCCCACTCTATCTGAAGATAAATGGAAAAATATCCTCGACTGAGAATTTAAAAAATTCTGTTTGAGGATTAGCAGGAGGATAGGATGACCAGCTATGCAGAAAGGACAAAAAGGGCATCCCCTGCTCCCTCATGCCCCGAACCCCACCCTGAGGGTGCAGGAACAGGTGTCTGGTTGGGAATCTGCCCTTTCCCTGAGTGGCTCACCTGGTCTCCCCTCCTGGAACCAGACACTCAGAAGGCAATTGTTATCTGAGGGCCACCTAGTTCAGGTGCTTCTCGGTACCACCCAAAGAGGTTATTTACAGAAACAGTTGGACCTAAGCCCACCCAGTGTGTTAAAAGGTTTGTAATATTTACCTTAAAGCACCAACCTATGTGCAGACCAAAACAGAATTCAGCGATAGCCAAGGGTTGCTCTGGGGTTTGCAAGCCCCTTTCACTGGGGCACTGGCCAGCGGCCTGCTGGCACCTGCCAGGGTCTCCTTCGTCACCCACTGATCCGGCTGCACCTCGGTGGGTCCCCAGCCATCTGACCCTGTCTCCCTGCAGGAACTCGCCCATCCTCTCAGACTGCATTTCCTCGCTCTGGCATCTTCCGTGCTAGCTATGCCCACATCCCTGCGCTGCGGAGCTGGGCCGCTTGGCCGGCTTCCCTCGTGGCCTCTCACACACGTCTCCACTGCAACCGCTTTCTTTATCTCTGCATCGGAGAAGGAAGTCACAGGGAGTGATTTCCAGGAGGCTGTGTCCTAACGGAACTAGCCAGTCTCCCTCTCTAGCGGTCTTTGAGTCTTGAATCACTCTAGAACTTGCACTCTCCCCTCCCCCACCCACCCAGGGCACTGCGGGACCTGGGGAGAGAAAGATCCTGGGCAGGAGGGACGGTGGTGTCGCCTGGGCGTGGTGCTGGGACAGCTGAGGAGTGGCTTTCCTGGAGGACCACCCCGCATGGCCGAGGGAGGAGCCGCCCCGCAGAGCCCAGCACAGGCGTGCTCTGTGTTTGAGAGCTGGTCGGACAATGGACAGCGCCAGCTTCTAGAAGGAACGCGACTGCAGCTCTCGGGAGGCTATGGGCCAGAAGCTGGGGGCGGGGGAAAGAGGTGGAAGCCTGGGGAAGTGCTTGAGCCGCGGAGCCAGCCCCCAGAAGAGGCCTCAGGTGGAAGCGACAGCGAGATCCGAAGCCTGACTGGTGTGCTTTCGGATCCTTGCCCCTTCCTCCTCCTCTAGTGCCTGGTGAGCCCTTCGGGAACCAGCCCAGCTCAGCTGAGGGATCGAAGCCAGAGAGAGGAGTTTTGTCCAAGCACCAGTCACAAGAGCAGTGTGGTGGGGACAGGAGAGCCCGTGAGAGAATAGCCCATGGGACAAAGTAATGGCAGCAGACACACTTGGGGTCCCAACCATGCCACCTGTTCTCACCTGGGAATTCCATTTCTAAAATTCTCTGTGCAGAATGAAGGGTGAGTGGAAAGGCAGCCACAAACTGTCTGGCGGGGGGTCCCGTGGTCACGGAAAGGCAGCCACACACTGTCTGGCGGGGGGCCCCGTGGTCACAGAAAGGCAGCCACACACTGTCTGGCGGGGGGCACCGTGGTCACGGAAAGACAGCCACACACTGTCTGGCGGGGTCCCCGTGGTCATGGAAAGGCAGCCACAGTTGCTTAACACTGTGACCTAGGACAGGGCCCTGAGTGTCCTTTCAACAAAAGGGCAGCAGGGAAGAAGACAGAGGCCACAGCCACCTGTGGCTAAGTGACTTCCTTCACCTCAGCCTCCTAACACATCCCCAGAGGTGAGGTCCCCGCAGCTTCTGCACTGCCCAGGGCCAAGCCCAGACTCCTTGGAATGCACAGGGTCCCCTCTGCCATGGGAGAGCCCCCCGCAGCCTCCGGTCGCCTGATGTCCCAGAAACCACAGGCCACCATACTGCCCAGCCGTGGCTTGAGGCTGCGCTTTCACTTCCTGTCCCTGTGCAAGTGCTCTGGTCTGGCCAGGAGGCCTTCCCCCCCTCCGCCTGGAAAACTATTCCTTCGAGATGGTCATGGTCGGAGACAGGACCTTGAAGAAAAAGTCGCAGACACCGCCCTCTTCTGGAACCCCAGCGTGCTGTGTCTCTAAGCCCTGGAGGGCAGGCACCTCCTCTTCACGTCTGCATCTGCCGCCCCCCAGTGCCTGGCGGAGGGCGCTCAGGCTGAGAGGTGAGCGGAAGTGCCTCGGGCAGCCCCGGGCACCGGCCCCAGACCTCAGCCAGGGCCGAGCAGCACCTCCCAGCCACTGTGTTCCGCATGGCAGACAGGTGCTGGTTCAGTGCTGAGCAAAGAGATGCTGCCTCACTGCTGAGCTCACCGAGGCACAAAGGGCTGCACCGCCCCAGCCTCGGCCTTGGCGAAATGAAGGCCCAGGTGCGGGACCGGCCGGCCTTCCAGGCTCAGGACTCCCTGGTGACGGCGCCACGTTGTGAGCAGGAGGCTCTAACCTCACGCCCGGGGAAGAGAAGCGGCTAAGCCCACGGGAGCGAAGCACAGATATAAAGTAGGTCCAGCCCCAGCTTGAGTTAGGAAGAGAGGAAGGAGCCAGACAGACGCTGTATGAGGGGAGCCCTGGACCAGAGAGAAAAACTTTCATTGGACTAAGGTGCCAAAACAAATTTTTTAAATAATAAAATGAATTATAAATGAAACGTGGCTCAGGGTCATGTCTGTTTGGGTTCTACTGGAAAAACATGTACTTTATGGAGGAGGCAAGAATCTGGGAGGAACGGTGGGCCTGAATCGCAGGAAAGACCCCTGGAGTCCTCGGGAAAGGCCTCCCTTGTCCCCAGCCCGGGCCAGGAGCCTCCTTGGGCTGGCTCAACAGCTCAACCACAAGGCTGCAACCTTGACCTTGGAGTTCTTCTTAACATCCTGAGAGGCTGGCCAGAGACACATTTGATCTTTGCAGCTTCTCAGAAAAGGCTGGGAGACCCCAGCAACCAGCCTGCAAACGCAGCAAAAGGGAACAGCAGCCGGGGCCAGGGACGCTGAGCCCTACAACTGGGGCAGGTGGCTGCGGAGACAGGATGTCACACAGGCGGAAGGTGGCCACTTCTGCCGGGCCGGCTCTCACGAACTCGACTGCTGCCTGCAGAATTGCACAGTCAGTTTGCTCACTTCCTCTTGGCTCCATTGCCACTTCCCCAAAGCCTCGGAGCCCACAGAGCTTCAGTCTCGCTGGCCGACTGCAGAGGCTCAGAAAGGACAAGGGCCCAGTCGGCCCAGGAAGGGGGCTAGCCCTCACTCCCCTCTCCCAGAACCCCTCCCTTCTCTGCCTCTCAGTCAAGCCAGAGGGAGGAGGCTGGGCCCTTCAGACGGCTTCCTCCAGGGTCTGATCTCAGCCATTGTCGCCGGGGGCTTCTTAAGAGGACCCAGTGACCTGGGCCAATCCAACTGTGGACAAGGAGCCAGGGACTCCTGAGACCTGTAGAGTTCAGGAGACTCACTTTGAGCCAGTGGGAGGGGGAGGAGAGGTGTCAGGGTTCCTTCACTCTGTGTCGCAGGAAATCCTGCCAGCAAAGGGGAACAGCTCCAGGCCCCGCACCCCGCCCACCAGAACCCCACCTATATCGGTGTACCAAAAGGTCTCCGGGCCCTAGTGAGAATCCAGAGAACGGTTCGGCTAACTCTGTTCCAGGTTCTGGGCACTCAGAAAGTGAGGAGGTATTCAAACTACTTAGTCTTAGTGGGTAGAAGCTTCCAGGCACCAGCTTCAAGTTCCTGAAAGGCTCGTTCCTGTGTCCCTGCTGGGGCCCTATGCTCAGCAGTGACCACCAGGTGGCAGCACATTTCCATGGCTGCGCCAGACTCAGGCTGAAGAAGATGAGAATTCCCTGGTACCCCCTTCAAGCCCTCCTTAGCGGGCAACCTCAGGTCCAGCAGAAAAATGAAAAGAGTGAGAATTAAGGGCAAGAAAAACAAGGATAAGTTGCCAACTGCCTCAATTCAAC